GGAATGCCTTCAAGGGGTGTTTGGTAGCAGGATTTCTGGTGGTCAGGGCAGAGCTTCACGTGAGCACACGCCTGACCCTTCCCATTCTGTTTTTGCAGAGGACTTAGTGTTGGCTTGATGGTTGGACTTGATCTTGGAGGTCTCTTCCAACCTAAAGGATTCTGTGATTCTATCTCACAGAAGGTCCATAGAAAACAGAGGTCATCAATGCAGCCAGCACAGAGCTTTCTAGGTGTAGTCAGTAGGATAAAGAACAACTGTCTCTTCAGCCTCTCCTTGCAAGCCTAGGGGACTGCATTAGGGGAGCAAGATTAGGGACAGGACATGGTATCTGCTGACTCTGGTCCACACCATGGTCCATAAGACAACCTAGAAGGATTCTTGTGATGTAGGCAGGTTGCAAGTGTGGTGTGGATTATCTGAGATACTTTTCAGGCATTTGAGAAAGGCCAGGGCTGGGAAGAGACTAACAAGGGTAAAAGTAACTGTAGCCCAGTGTTTGATCTTGTCCAGCATACAATGTCACTCTTGAAATACAGAAATACAAAGTTAGCTATATTTGCAATTTATAAATGTAAAAAGTCACAGTAATAAGAGAATTTGAATGCTTGGCTTCAGAGTGATGGATTAGCCTGTGTCCTTCCTAGCAGCCCCTGTCACCCAAGTTGTGAAAGGATGTTATGGAGGTGTGTGACATTGAGAGATAAACATTTCAGGTTACTCTTAGCTGAGTTCTGCCCTGTGTTACACCAGGGAAACTCTCTGAGATGAAGGTAAAATCTCTGTTTCCAACACTTTCCCAGTGTGCCATTTTGTAGCAGTTCTTGTTATAGCTTTTTCTAGTAAAAAGTTTATTCCAGTTGGGGTTGCTTAGAGGTGGTCAAATTACAAGCAGAAAAATACAAAACCTTTGTCAACAATTATTCCCCTTTTTTTCCCATAGAACTATTCCTGTTGACAGTTTCCCAGGCAGCCCTAGGGATGCACTTTTCTTCTCTTTTATATTTCATTTCATCTAAATTGTGAGCTAGGATTTAAGTGCCAAATATCTTCAGCTGATAAAAGAGGAGTTTGAAATATCTTCTCTCTAGAGGCCTGTGGCTGAGTCTAGCAGCACCTGGAGATCTCTGTCTACAGCCCCCCAGGAAGCCACCCTCAGCAGAGGGGTAACACTGGAGCAACACGTTGTGCACCCCAGCACCTGGTCCCACTGCCACCCCCAGAGGTGTGTGAACACTGGGTGGGGGTTCTGCAGCTGGAGCACTGCTGTGGTGGGGAGGATCACTCTGACCAAGTTAGGGATCTGTTGTGGAGGTGTCTGTATGTGAGCAGGTCACCCCAGGCTCCCCTTGCAGCCAGCTGAGGGAAGCAGCACTCGTGGAGCACAGTTCATAGAATCACAGACTGTCTGGGCTGAAGGGACCTCCAAAGCTCATCTAGTCCAACCCCCCACCACAAGCAGGGACATCTCCAACTAGATCAAGCTGCTCAGAGCTTCATCCAGCCTGGTCTGGAATGTCCCCAGGGATGGGGCCTCCACCACCTCTCTGGGCAACCTATTCCAGGGATCTGTCACCCTCACACTGAAGAACTTTTCCCTCATGTCTACCCTCAATCTTCCCTGGTCCAGCTCAAAGCCATTGCCCCTCGTGCTGTCCCTCCAAACCCTTGTGCACAGTCCCTCCCCTGCTCTCCTGTAGCCCCTCTCAGGCACTGGGAGGTTCCTCTCACCCCCAGACAGGAGTGTCTGACCAGTGCCCACCTCTGCCCACTGGGGTTCCTGACTCAGATGCTGACATAAAGGAGATGAATCCGACCTCATTTGCTTAACATAAAGCTGTAAATGCAAGAAATAATTTGCCACATGCTCATTTTAAGAGGAAATTACATATGGGGGCACATCTTATATAAAGGAATTTATTTTAAGAGTGTGCTTTTAAACAGAGTATATATGTGCATCCTACTGCAAGGGAATGATTTTGAGCAGAATTAGGATTTTTGATTTATTTCTTAAATGAGTGGATGCAATCATAAGGCAGTTCATGCTCTGCTTAAATTAGATTCCATTGCTGCATTTCTTCTACTATTTATCTACTAAATAAAAAATAAATGAACAATCTGGTATAAAAATCTGATTTTCTAAGTGAACCTCTGATTGCTCAGAAAGAGTCACTGCATTCTGGATGAAGGAAATTAATTCACGGGGAGTTACCTTATGCCAGTCACTAAGTATCCAACTCAATAATATAAAAAATTAGAAAGGAAGGTGAAATAAGGAAATTTTAAAACTGTAGAGAGAAGATTTTATTAACTAATGTGCTCCTGTTGTGCATATATTACCCTCTAGCATTTTTTAATGTATCTTCTAATTATGTAATCAATGAAGATGCTGATGTTTACCAATGAAAGGATTTTTTTCCTGCTAATACAGAGCCATGAATTAACTCTTCCAGGCCCACAGACCTCGACAGCTCCCTGGAATTACAGTGTGTGAAAAGGAGGTTTTCAGTGTGTCCTTTTAATTGGGTTGAATCTGTGTGGCAGAAGGGTGGCACGTTCATGAACCAACTGTGCCTGGGAAAACAAAGCAAGGGGAGGGGGGGTGAAATTTCCTAGAGATCCTATAGTAAAGCAACACAGACGTGGACTGGAGAGAGATCAAAGCAAGAAAAAGAGAGGATGTTTTGGTGCAACTGAGTTCCCTCATGCATCTCAGTGAAGCATCTTTGCTCCCTTCTGCACAGCTTTTCACAGGTCCCACTGTACCTCCTCAGAGGAGCTCCTGGGTATCATTGCTCCCAACTGTGCTGCTCCTGTCTTGACCTAGATTGAATGCAGTAATTTACTGTAAATGGCACTTAAGTGTTGGGGGATAAATTATGTGTGATGATACAGATAATGATGTCTACGAGGGGAACAGAGGAGTGTTCAGCTGTAGTCATTCTCTACTCTCCATCAGCCACATCCCTGGTGTCACAGACGGGTGCCAGCCACAGGGTGACCTGGCTGGGCAGGCAGGTGGAAATTGGATGCTGACAGTGCCAGGAGCCATTACAGGTTATTTTATTGACTACTCTAATTATAATAAACGTTCTGTTCCAGGGATGAGTTCTTGGCTCTGTTGGATTGGTAACAGCCAGCCCCCATGCGTTTCAGCAGGCTGAAGATCTCATCCAAGCCTTTTGGAGAGGATTATCCTAGTGTTTTCTTGCAATGGAGAGGCTCTGCATGAGCCTTGTTTACATTTGGCTTTTCTCAGGCCCATATTCAGCCAACTTCACTCTTCAGAGACACTTGGTACTTACCTAATTCATGTATATAGAATCACAGAGTGTCTGGGCTGGAAGGGACCTCCAGAGGTCATCTAGTCCAACCCCCCACAATAAGCAGGGACATCTCTAACTTTGAAAAATTGACGTTATGATGCTCTTGCTTTGCAAATTTTTCAGGGATCTTGGGTGAACATACCTATGCACCTGTGGAGACCAAATCCTCTTGCTGAGTTGTTTCAGTTAACATGGTAAGGCTCAGACAGTGTAAGGTCTGTTCCTCCCAGGACCTGGGCCCAGAGCAGGTCACTGCTACTGGCTGTACTGTAGGCTCCTTGCCTCTTAGGGAACTGATTGCTGATTGAGAATAAAGCCCAAATTGTCACTTAACAATTAACATTTCACTATTCTTTGTGCATAGAAGGCAGAGCCTTACGAGCCATGTCCCACATTTTTGTGTGCTGTAGCACAGGTGGTTTGGTTTAGCACTTTCCAGTTTTTAAGTGTCTTTGGATTATCACTATGCTCCTTCTCCCCACCATAACTGTGTATGTTCTCTATAGAAAGGTTTATCTACCTTCTCAAATATGTATCAAGAAATGTAACCAACAAGGACTAGATGGGTGGTTTAAAATTATTTGTTGGAAAATGAAAAGTTTTATGGAATAAAATCCTGGGGGAAAAAAATGAGACTGAATTGCACAGAAGTGGTTCCACAGGAATAGGCTCTGTTGCAATAATATTTTCCTGCAGTTCAGCCTAAATGGGACTTAAAAAGAAATGTGTCCTCGTAATCCTGATGAAGCCAGAAGTGTAATGGATGCTGCACTAAGAGTTTTCTGAGGAAGCTGAGAGCACTGTCAGAGGAAAGAAGATTACCTGGGGAGGGAGTGCACAAAGTCTAGACACCAGTTTTGGTGAGCTTTCTGCAGAGAAATGTGACTTCAGTTCCATGAGTGGAACACTAAAAGCTGTAAGGCAGGTGTTTGTCTGGAGTCCTTTAAAAAGAAAATATGTAAAACAAACCACAGACAAATAATACAAATACAGACACATCATCTGCTCAAAGCAGCTCCTTGTAATTAATCAGCTCTTTGAGGAGGAATTGTTCAGCCTCGTCATTGTTCATTAATTAAGAATGTGATGTTAGTGAGTTTTGTTGACAAATTGTGGCTGAGCCCAAGCTGCAAGGCTGAGCTTTGAGCTGAGCAGATGAGCACGGGCACGTTTCGCTCCCTGGGTGGGTCTGGCAGCACAGAGGTCTCCTCACTCTGGCTCTGAGGCCGTTCCGTGTCGCTGAGCAGCCTGAGGGAGACGTGGAAACGAGGAGTCAGGCCACAGGCAAGGGTGCCGTGGGGCTTTTTCTGCTATGAAAATAAGCAGAAGACGCAGAAAAGTCTTGAAGGAAGATTTATGTAGCTTCCCATGGCAGTATTGGTTTCCTACATCTGACAGAACAAAAGAACCCCAAAGTTGCCCAAGACGATGCATTGCAAGCAGGATTTCGAGCGATTTGCACGTGGCGCGGAGCAGAAACGTGTCCTGGGCAGGACGTTTGTGCCTGCAGTTGACAGCCTGTGCTCTGTTGCAGATGATAGCAAGTTCTCAGAGGCCATCACGGTGCTGCTGAGCTGGATCGAGCGGGGGGAGGTGAACCGGCGCTCCGCAAACCAGTTCTACTCCATGGTGCAGTCGGCCAACAGCCACGTGCGCCGGCTCATGAACGAGAAGGCTGCTCACGAGCAGGAGATGGAGCAGGCCAAGGAGAGCTTCAAAAACGCCTTAACGGGGATCCTCACTCAATGTAAGTAGCTCCTTCTTGTCCCGTGGCGTGGTGGTGATGGTGGTGGTGGTGGTAGTGGTTGTGTGGTCGGTTTGTTTGTTTGGGGGTAAGTAGTTGCAATGCGGTCATATCCTACTTCATATCCTATCCCATACTCTATGGCAATTTGGAGGAACAAGGACCATTCCTAAGAGCTTATTTCTCAAGGTGAGCAAAGTTTTGGTAGTTTTTTTATTACTCTAGCAGAATGTCCACTGTTGCATGGGCATGGTGCTTCAGGAGCAGAGCAGCCAGAAGCCTCCCTGCTCTGGACAAAGATCATGCTTCTCTGGAGAGAAGGGATATTCAGCCTTTGTGTTGGAGACAGTTAACTAGGCCAGCTACAGAACAGAGGACAATGAGGTTATATTTTTAGCCTGGGTTTAGGTGAAAGAAAGTAGGATTCAGCAGCTTTTAGGGTTATATTCCCAACGTCCAGGCCACCCCCACCGTAGAAGAACATGCTGTACTGCTGCTGGCATTGGGGCTGCTCAGCTAGTGCAATGCCAGGATTAATTTGGCAGATAAACTGCCTTAAATATTTAGTGCTGGCAGCTATTTCCTTAGTACAGAAATATAATCAATGAAGTTACCTTAATGAGGTTCCCTCATAAAACAGTAATTGGGATACTTGCTGAGGAAAGGAGAGGAGAGGTGAGGAGAGGAGAAAATATGCAAAGAAAGCAAGCTCATTTCATTGTTGCTGGTTATTAACATGTCTACCCGTGGCTGCTCAAGCAAGAGGGTTCATGATACTCCTAAGGGTGGAGCCTGAAGCCAGCTTGCATATGCAAGTTAAAAATTAAGAAGACAGTTTCCCAGTTGGAGGACAATGCAGTTGTTACATTGCATTTCCAAATCACATCTTTACATTTAAAATAAAAGCCCTAAGGCTTTTCTCCAGTTTTCATCTGGTCCCTCAGTGGTTGTCCTTCAGAAGTTAGGGCTGAAGGCAGAAGCTTGGGTGGACTTACCTGGGTTAGGAGAGCAAACCCTGGATGTTCCTTGCAGCATCTCAGAAGACCAATTCACTCCAAGGCACATCTCCTTATAATAAGGGGGCTCCAGGAAAGCTGGGGAGGGACTTTTTAGGCTGTGGGGCAGTGGCAGGACTGGGGGGAATGGGGCAGAGCTGGCAGTGGGGAGATTCAGACTGGCCGTGAGGAAGAAGTTCTTCCCCAGGAGAGTGGGGAGAGCCTGGGATGGGTTGCCCAGGGAGGGGGTTGAGGCCCCATCCCTGGGGGTCTTGAAGGCCAGGCTGGAGGAGGCTCTGGGCAGCCTGATCTAGTGGGAGGTGTCCCTGCTCATGGCAGGGGGGTTGGAACTGGGGGATCCTTGGGGTCCCTTCCAGCCCTGACAGATTCTGATTCTGTTTGAGCAGAGGACTCAGGAGTGTTGGCTTGATGGTTGGACTGGATGATCTTGGAGCTCTCTTCCAACCTAAAGGATTCTAGGATTCTATAATTTAAGAGCTTAGATGACTGAACTTAGAAAGAAAGATTCTGGGCCAAAGGCATTTGATTTCTGAGGAGATATGTTCAGTGAATAAATTTTCAAGAGCAGCTAATTCCCTTGGTAATTTGCTGGGCAATGTCATCTTCCACCTCTGCATCTCCAGGGCAGTGTGAGGAGCAGGGACAGGCACCACCCCTGGCTGTGCTGCTCAGTCCCCACCAGGGCCCCTGTGGTTCTGAGCACAGCAGCCACCCCCAGCACTCAGAACCTCCTCCTCCAGCTGCATTACAAACCCCACCCCTTGTCAGCAGGGTGAACTTTAGTTAAATCAGTCTAAATTAGCCCGTTTGTCACCAACTGCTGTAGAACATCTGTCACTTGGAACTAGAGATCCCTGTAGTTTCAGGTGAAACTTGCAGTTTGGGCTGTCTGGTTTGTTCCTGTGACGTCCTGAATGCTGAGTTTAAAAAACCAGAAGCAGGTCTGGCTGGAAGCCTGAGTTTGAGAGTGCCACAGTCACACCATGCCTGCAAGAGGAGACTTTCTGACAGATCAGACCTAGGAGGGCAAGGTCAGCAAAACAAAAAAACACAGGCTCAGGGAAAGGTGTTACACTCTGTGGATTTTATAAGAGCAAATTTTACGAGCTTTCCAGATGCTCCACACTGGTTATTTTATAAACATCATAAACATTGGCCATTATTAGCATTAATGTTTCTTATTAAAATTCTCTGCAAACTCACTGCAAACAGATGGATGATGGTTTTGCTTCACACTTGTGTGTGCCTAAGACTGCTAAAGATGGAGACTGTGAAATGAGCTTCCCTTTTTCAAGAATTTTCCTCTATTTGAATTAGTCCAAGGAATGTTTTCCATGCGTCCTGTTCCATTATTTTCCCACTGCCCTGTATAACCAGTTACAGCATGTCACTTGATTTATGAAAAGGAACTTGAAATTACTAGATGCCCAAACGAGGTGTGTGTGGTCTATTAAATTCTGCAGTGTAAAAAAACCACTTCTGCTGTTCTGCAGTAGGGATCCAAAAGTCTGGTGTAATGCTGCAGCTATGTGGCCACTCCACGTAAATATTAGAGGAGTTTGGAAACACTGTGTGGCATTGCTCTGCCTGAACTAGGTGAGGTGTCCAACTCCAGGCTGACCATTCCGGGTGCTCCTGGTGCATCTCCAAGGCCTGAGGCACCAGACCAAGCCCTGGTGCTCTCCAGTGGGATGAGTCATCCCTTGGAGATGCCCACAGAGGATTCACAGGGCAGAATCAGAACCAGATGTCCAAAGATTTCAATGCCTGGTTCAGAGAAGATTAATCCCACTTACTGAGTGTATTCTTGATACAGAAGGATGTAGTGTAAGGGGAGAACTTGGAATTAGATAAAACACCAGCACTGTAGCACTGACTGACCTGGGGAGTGAAGAGGAAATACATTAAGAAAATGGGCTTCAGGTGCACTCACCTGGAACTCACAGACTGTCTCTGTGGGTCTGAGCATAAAATGCTTCCTTATTAATGAGGATTAGTGTGGCCAGAACATTTCAGCTTATGGCCCAGCTACTAAAGGAGTACAGGTATTGAAATCCCTTGTACAAGTTTATGCCTAGAGGCATTCAGAAGATTACCAAGCGGATTACCCCTAAAAAATTGGGTCAGCTGTTCAGGATGTGTATTAATTACCTGACCAAGATACTTGTGTCAGGATAATCTGTGAAATAAAGTGTATTACTGCTGTCACACCACCCATTTACAGCCCCCAGTTCAAGTTCTACAGGGAGTCTTAGCCTCATTATTATACTTCTTCAGCTGGTTAAGGGATAAAGAGAGAAAAACGTGCACTTCCTTCTTTTTTACTAAATCCCTTTGTTTTTCTAGATTTGAATCTGTGCTTAAAGCATGGATTGTTTTGCAAGATTCTGGAAAAATTAGTTCAGTCCTTGTGGTTTGTTTTCTAAGTTCTTCCACTTTGCCTCCACACGTGACACTGCTCCTTGACTTCCCATCCATCTCTGTTTCATGTCCTCACAAACTGTCTTTTCAGCTAAGGCTCATAGCTGTTTATCCTCCTGTTTAAGAAAATGGAAGCCTTAGAGATATCCACACTGTGCTGATACTTGAGACTGCACCAGAGCTGCAGTTTTCTCCTCTGACTTTCCCCTTCACACACTGTGAACTTTGTCTGCCTCTCACTGAGGTTTCAGATGATGCAGTGCAGTCTCCCTTGACAGCACAAAGAGCAAGGTAAGGCGATAGTCAAACATTAACTGATATCTCAAGAGTCAGATACTCAAGGGCGTGGAACTGTCCCAGTATGCAGGTAGAGAGGTGCCCAGTGTGATGAAGGGAAGTGCCCCACAGCTGGATACTGAGCAGCTTATGACATTTCTTTGGTCAGTTGTGTCAGTTTTACTAATGGATGACTCTTCAAGGGACTCGGGCAGCAGGTCCCCATCAGGGGCTGTGAATCAGTCTCTCATGTGCTGTAGGGGAACACTGGGAGGATGTTTTTTAATCTGCTGGTCAGATTACTTTGTCACACAGTGACCTTCACTTTCATGCCCTTTCTGATGTTCAGAGAATTTTGGTGCCTAGTGATCAGGATGGTATTTTTGAAAGACATGTGTAAAAACCCTGAATGCCAGTGGAGGAACTGAACTTCAGCCTCCTTCCTTCCAAGAGTTCTCTACATGGTGAGGTCTGCTGCTCTGAAAGGTGGTTGAATCTATGATTCTGTGATTTGCTGGCATTGGGGACAAGAAATGTGCTGCAGGTTCTCACCCTGCCTTGGCAAGGAGGAGTTGGCTCACTGACTCTCAGTAAGCAACTCTTGACAACAGAACATAGACCCACAGCATCACTCAGACATGTTTAAAAGTTGCCATCCTGAATTTCCTTCCCAGCAGCACAGCTCTGCTGTTGGCACTGACCAGTCCAGTGGCAATCCTGATGTTTCCAGGGGACATTGTGAACAAGCTACATGCTGACACCTCTTTTATTTTCCATTTCAGCTCCTAAATCTCATGCCATCATAACAAGCAGTAAAAGCAAAACTGTTCCAGAGGTTAGTGCAGTTTGTAAGTGACAGGACCCAATCCTCAGCAGCACTGCTGGAGTATCTGCACGTTGTAAAATAGATTTTTCCACTAAGAATAAAATGTAGGAGTCTCTTTCTCAGTGAGGTTCTAACTGTGACCAGGGACTAAAGCCTTGTAGGTTTGGGCCACTGTGAAGTTTTAAAGTCCAGATATTCATATCTGTGGATAAAAGTGGCATCCTGTAGGTGCTCCTCCCACCTTGCTCTCAAGAGGAACTGATTTGCACTCCACAGCTCCACGTACAGGGGACCTGTCACTGCTCTCTGCTGCCAGCAAGCTTGCTTGCTCCCCTCAGCATTTCCATTGCATGAGGAGGTGCACATCAAAGTAAAACCAAAGAGATACTCACCTTTCAAGAGGTCCTGAAACCAAGAAAATCTGAAATTTAAGATATTATGCAGTTTACCTACTTAGCTTTTTG